CAAATGTTTAGACCTTTTTACCATTTCTCACAATTTGAATTATGAAAAGGGATGCCGTAATCATAATCGAATTTGAGAATGCAAATATCACAACTACTATCTCCTTAAAATCTACTTAGTGAAAGCATTTCATCACTATCATTTTCATGAATTGGATAGAAACCTTATGACACTTAGAGTTTTAGGGTGTACATGTTCCTATCCATGTAAATTTGTCATAACCATAATCACAAGACAAGGTTAGTGACAAATCCAAACTCATATGGACTGAACTTGTTTAATCTTAATTTCTTGCCACCTGGCAGCCCAAGGGCCTACCATTGCTTCCAAGTTGTTATGCAAGCAATTGAGAGCTCATAGCACTCACATGCATAGTCAACTTTAATAGGAATAGGCATAGAAACAAGAATATGTCAACACGATAGGTTACAAACCTCAAGTCGTGTGCTAGTGATAAACAATAGGTTTACTCTTGATTAGTTCTTGAAACTTGTCAAGATCTTTAATACTCCCACTGATCTCTTGACATATATTATTCCCTTGTCAAGAACCATTCCTTGACAAACAAATATTCAAGAGTTCGTGTGGATTCTTATCAAGATAAACATTTCACACAATTGGTCTTAGTTGGTCATTGTCCTATCCAAGACATCACAACTTACCAATTTTAAATGTACAAGAGTAGAAAACATTTTACTCTACATTTGATAAGTGTTATAAACCTTTCTTAAGATTATGCCACTCAAGGTTAAAATCTTGGAGTATGATTCCAAGACTTGTTTTTGGAACGAAGTATGACTCATTTTCTAGATTTAAAGTCCTTAATTCATCTCCTCTAGAAGAGTTTCTAACACCAAAACTAATATAAAAGTTGGTGCTTTATAGACATGCATGCCAATGCATGTCTTGACTTCATATTAGGTCAAAAATAAGGGTTTAAGACCAAAACCTCATGCATGGTTACAAAACCCACTCATACATCAGATCCCAAGCATCAAATACCCCAAATGTCCCAAAGATTGATAAAGTTGCAAAGTTTATGATATCTCACCACCCCAACCTATCAATACATGAAGAATATGGGACAAATCTAAAGATATAGCAACCTAAAAACATAAAGATTGAGACTTGAACACTTTTAAAGGTCTAGAAGATATGCTAGGAGATGAAGATGATGATTGCAAGGTGAATCAACACACCAAGAGAGCTTCTTTCTCCTTCAAGAGGCCAAAAACACCACAAGTTTCTTCAAAAATAAGATCAAAGAGGCTAGAACGGATTAGGGTTTAAAAGAGAGTGTTGGAGGCTGAGTGTGAGCAAACCCTAGCTCACACATTCTTTATATAAGGCTTAAGACCCTAAAACTACAGTTTTTGTCCTCAGATGGCTACCACGTAGTGGCATAAATACTGTCACGTCATAGCGACCTAAATACAGTTCGCGAATAGTCTTGATATGCCATGTCGTGGTGGTGCCTCCACCACGTCGTGGCAAACCCAAAACTTATTTAAATTAAATTGATTTAAATACCTTAAGAGTCTGGATGTTATATGATAAATTAGTGAGTTTTTTGGAAAAAGTTCATGATAAGAGTGATAAGTTTTTGTTAAATTAAAGTTAGTGGAATGGTGAGATGGAAAAAATAAAAAGCTTTAAAGGAGTTAATTATTGGAGATGTTCTTAAAGTGGTTTTAGAACAATGTAAACTTTTGGCTTTTGTAGTTTCTGTTAATTTATAAAGAGAATCCCACCCTTAGAAAACTCATTTGAAGTTGTCTAATATTGAAAAGTACAAGAAGCTTTGTTGGTGTTTGTTGGTGAAGAGAAATTAACGAGAAGACGCTAGTGGTCGTAAGGATAAACATGTAAAATATATGTAAAGTCCAATATTGTTTCTCCGAAAGAGCCCTTATGGTTAGTGGAGACTCCAAAATATATAAACACTTATAGGAATGTTTCACATTGATGTTGTATATTATAACACTCACCCTCATAGACGTAGGCTCGATGAGGATAGACAATGAATGTGTCAAACCACATAGGTGCAGACACCGACTTTGATACCATGTAAAATATACGTTAAATCTAAGATTGTCTTTTCAAAAGAAACCTTATGGAGAGAGATGTAGACTCCAACATATATAACCACGTATATGGTCGTGTTGCACCGATGTGAGAAACATTAACAAGGTAGAGAGTGGAAAGGGATCAACAAATAAAGGGTTAGGGAATGTGGAGGCGGTAGGGGGGGGGGGGGGGGGGGGGGGGGGAGGTCATAGTTGACGATGGAGATTGGTTTCTTTAAATGAAAGGAAGGGTGGAAACTCATTGGAGGGACGACAATGAGAAAGAGGGAGGAGAGAGGAAAGATCTTGACGTTTTAAAGACGAATGCTTACGTGGATGTAATAAAGATAGAAATTATAAAAAAACTAAAAATCTATAATTAATAATTAAATACAAAAGTAAATGCATAATTGTAATTTTACTTATATGCTTTTAAAGACCGGGTTTTAAAGACCAGGTGATAACAAAATGTTTTAGGGGCGACCAATGTTACAATCTAAAAAAACAATTGGACTTGATTAAAAAAGCATATAACTACAAGGACCAAGTTTATAATTCTCTTGACGACCAATGTTACAATTAAAAAAAGGACTTGATTAAAAAACATACAACTACAAGGACCAAGTTTGTAATTCTCTTAACTTATATATATAATTCTTAACAATGAAATAATAAAATAGTACAAATGTATTACGAAAAAAAGAGTGATCCTTATTTAATCGAGCTTTCACCAAATTACTTATAAATTATATTCAGAAGACCTAAATAGAAGACCTAAATGCAAGTTGAATGGAGTGGTTTGTTTTGCTTACATAATACTTATTTTAAAATTTTGAAAAGTAAATTTCTTTTAATTATCCATACCTTTTGATTGGTCATGTTCACACCCACCAAATGCAAAAATAATTGCCATATTGAAATATAAATAAATATATAAATCTTCCCTAATAAATAAAGATCTTTTTGCCACATGTCACATTCTTATTTATTTTGCCACATGTAATTTTGTGGTTATTTTAAATTAATTTTTATTCCACATGTCATTTTATGGTTTTTTTCATTTTATTAAATCCAGATAGTATTTAAATTCAATAATAAATGCATATCAATTTTATTAATTAACTTTCTTTCTAATTTTCAAAATTACTAAATTAAAGATTCATTAATTTTTTTTTATTTATTTATCTAATTTATTTGTTTAAATTAAAAGAGAAAAAAAACACTTTAATTTTTATAATTCATTATTTTCTCATTTTTCTTATAAATTTAAATTTCTCAAATGTTTAGAATTTTTTATTTAGTTTTTTTTTTAAATAAACTCATATAATACATGGATCTCACACTTAGTATATAAATAAATATATAAATCATAGGCATGCAAGCATTTGTGGAACCATTCTTACCTTCTTTTCCGTATAAATATTAATCTTTGACTTATTATAATATACGTTTTGGTATAAATATCTGATTATTACAAATATTTATAATATTATCTTTAATATAAATGCCAACCAAGAGTTCATTTTAGATCATGCATTTTTTCCGTTCAATTTGGGTATTATATCCTCCTTTATGACTATCTGAAAATATATATAAAATCAGAAATAATGTGTTGTACGTTATTTATTCATGTAAAGTGACGAAAGATTAGAGTAAAACCATATTCGAAAATTTTAACCTTTTTAATCAAATAATCACTACTGAGGACATTTCTAAGGAGTTTAATGGATTACCCCGTCACTGCCATATCAACATTTTACTTTTAATTCAATTATATATTTTAATATCGACACTCAATTAAACCCTATAAAATTTAATGATTTTCATATAATCATTATATTTATAAACATAATTATAAATTTAAAATTAATATTTTATCAAAATTATTATATATTAGATTTGAAATGGATATATTTTTTTTTCTCAATAGGCTTTTATTTGTAAATATTTCATTTGATTTATTTATTTGAAATAAATATGACTTCTAAAAATATACATTAAATAATATAATATCTAAAAATATGGTTAATTTTATTTGTGATTTAATTAAAAAAAATATAAAAATCAAATATAAAAGTAATAAGAAAATAAGATTAAATATATATTTGGTTTGATATTTAATTGAAAAAAGTAAAGATAAATACACTGAACCGATGATACAACTCTTTCATTCAAACTCTCCTTTATATCATCACCTATACTCCATTAACTAGGGATGAGCAAAAAAACCGCACCGCAACTAAAATCAACTGCATAAACCGCAACCGCAATAAAAACCGATGGTGATGCTTTCTGTTTTTCAAAAACCGCGAATTTGCGGTGCGGTTATTAGTTTTCAAAAACCGCAAAAAAACTGCACCGCACCACATATATTATATACAATTTTTTTTATTAATTATTAATATATTAAATATTAAAAATAAGACAAGTTTCATGGATGAAATATGGATAAAATACTATAAGACAAAAATATTAGCTTTTCGTTATTTTTAATTTTGAAAAATTGAAATTAGACAATTTTAAGATATTTATTGTTAATTACTATTGATTTGATGTTTTTAAGATATTACTTGTTTGTAATTTAAGTTAATTGTCTTACACCTTATGATTTTTTTATTATTACAAGTAATATGTTTGAACTCTTAAAACCGATTAAACTCTAAACTATGGTTAAAAACCACACAAAATAACCGCACCAAATCCATGCGGTTAATAACCACAAAACAGAAAAAACAAAATCGCTACCACAAAAATAATCGTCTAATTAACCGCACATCTTTAAATGTGACGACGTAATTAGGGAGATATCTAAAATACCATGTGGAAGTACTCATGATCAAGCCGCCTTGCGTATATTCCATAATTACAACATGTATATTTTAGGTCAATGCTTTCATATCCCTATATATATACTCTTCTAAGTAATATATCGAACCACACCACCTTCTTTCGTCAAGAATTCAACTTCAATTCATTCATTCACCCATGGCGGCTTCTTCAACCTCTTTGTTTCTGGTTTTCTCCTCACTCTTAATCTTCACCTCTCTTCTTTACGTATCAGATGCAGATTACTCAGCGCCCGTTATGAAAGGATTGTCATGGGATTATCACCATAAGACTTGTCATAAGCTCGAAAAAATCGTTCGAAAACATCTCAAGAAAGTGTTCAAGGAGGATGTTGGTCAAGCCGCTGGCTTGCTTCGCCTTCATTTCCATGATTGCTTCGTTCAGGTAATTAAGTACTATATATATAATTAACTACTGATCATCAATCATGCATGCTACTCGATCGTATAGACTTTCAGTTATACATTAACCATCAATCGTTATAATGAATAAAGAACTTAGAAAGATATCAAAATGAATGGTATTAAGCAAATTTCAGCATCTGATAAACTGGCATATATAGGGATGTGATGGTTCAGTGTTGTTGGATGGATCACATGGCGGACCAAGTGAACAAACAGCACCTCCAAACCAAAGTCTAAGGAAACAGGCATTCATCATCATCGAAGATCTTCGGAATTTGATCCATAAAGAATGTGGTAGAGTCGTATCTTGTGCAGATATTGTAGCTCTAGCAGCTCGTGATGCCGTTCATTTGGTATGTATGTACGTAGTTTAATTAAGATAAGTATGGAACTGTTTATTAAATAATGAAATACATGAAGTAATTTTTTCTTGCGTTGCTTTTTGACATTAATATAGTCAGGTGGGCCCGACTACGATGTTCCATTGGGAAGAAAAGATGGACTGACATTCGCCACACAAAACGCAACCCTAGCCAACCTTCCGGCACCAACAAGCAACGCCACCACCATCCTCTCCGCTCTTGCCACCAAAAACCTCAACCCCACCGACGTAGTGGCGCTCTCCGGCGGCCACACCATCGGAGTTAGTCACTGCTCATCCTTCACCCCTCGTCTCTACCCCACCCAAGACCCCACCATGGAGAAAACCTTTGCTCATGGACTCAAAGAGGTTTGTCCCACAAACACCACTGATGCAACCACCGTCATGGATATCTATTCTCCAATCAAGTTTGACAACAAGTATTATGTCGATTTGATTAACCGACAAGGTCTTTTTACTTCCGATCAAGATTTGTACACTCATAAAGAGACCAAACCAATCGTGGAAAGTTTTGCACATGATGAGAAGTTATTCTTTGAGAAATTTGTGCAAGCCATGATCAAAATGGGACAATTGGAAGTGTTAACCGGTGGAAAAGGTGAGATTCGTGCTCATTGCTCGATTAGGAATCCCGATAACAAGGGGTATTTCTCGTACTTGGCAGAAGAGGAGGACCAATACGATCTTGAGTCGAAGGCAGAACTACGTTGATGGATGATATCAACACGATATGTTGTGGTTCGTTGGCTTGTCATTATGTACAATTTTTTTTTTTAATTTAATAAGTGTTTATTACGGCTTAAAATGTGTATTTATTGTCATTTTGTGTACTTTTGTATACTTTCTAGTGTGAAATAATATGGTAACGAGCATCATAATGAAAATTTCTAGTTACGGATTACCTTTTTCCTGATTTCTATTTTCTTTATTAGATAAAAAAATTATATGTTTCTTTTTAAAAAAAAAAGGATATCAATGCTCAAAAAATAAGTCATCTCGATGCTGGCAAGTCGCAAAATGTGATGTCATTTTGAGAAAAAAATGATTTTGTATCGCAAAAATAATGATTTGGGAAACGACTTTTTGGAAGGGTTTTATAATGGGAGTCATTCAAAAAACAAGTTTAGCGGTTGTACAAAGGAGGTGTCTACAAAGATATCCCTCTCAAAAAGTTTAAGGATTCAAATCTCCTACTTGTTAAATATATAATTCAAGAGTAGGTTAATACAAAACAACTAATTATTTTATAATTTTGGGAAACGATTTTGGGTTTTATAGTGAGAGTCGTTGAAAAAAAAGTTTAGAAAATAAATAATTATTTTATAACGGCCGGAAAAAAAAAACATGACCCGGGGAATAACAACATTGTTACTATGGCATGTGATGTGTGTATTATGAAACTACATAAATAATTGAAGAATTTCGTATATACCCTTATAACGTTTAAATATCATATTTGCCCGACCTAAACTCTAAATATCATATTTGCCATTTTTAATGTTTTAAAATATCTGATTTGCCCAAATCTATTTTTTAAACAATTTATATTATTTAATAATCTTTTTTTATATTTTAAAATCATTAAAAATAAAAGAAATAACCCAATAGACCATAATACCCTTGCCTTCTAGGTAAACCTTATTCCTGCGACCTGATATTTTGTGACTTCGACTAGATGATGAATAAAGGACCTGTGGCTTTTTTTTTCTTTGTCTTCTTCTTACCAAAGCTGTTGCAATCAATTTCATCATCAGGTTAGTTTAAGTTTTTTTAGTTAATGGAATATTCAATTCCTGATTAGAAGTATGGATCGCTTCAATTTTTTTGAGAATGAGTGATTTTTGAGAATGAGTGATCAGAAGGATTTTGGAATAGGCTATAATCAGCATGTTATTTGTTGGCTTTCTTTGTCAAATAAACATTGAATGTGTGATTATAACTAATGTGTACTATGATTTCTGTGTGGAGTGATGTGAAATACACATACAACAGAGACACAAGTATTATGATATGAGATAAAAAAATATATTACAACTTGAAACCTGTACATGATGCACACAACAAAGATTGACGCAGAACGGGTACTACCCATACGATTGATAATCCACAAAAAACAAACAATGAATTATGATAGCACAACAGATTTAAGTTAATGATAGGATTAAATCAGAAAACAAACAATGGATCGCCATAGGATTAAATAAAAAAACAAAAAATGGATCGCCTTAAATGTGTATGATTAAATCAGAAAAAATAAAAAAATTGAAAGCAAACCAAAGAGGGCTAATGTGAGGAGGGTGACGTCGCCGGAGATGGAAGACGGCGACCAAAGTTTGAGAGGACGAGGACAACGGCCAAGAGTAGATCACGCATTCTCAAAAGTTTTAAAACTATTCATCAGTTGTAATCATGATTTGAACATTCAATTAAAAAAGAAAGCCAAAAATTAACCTGGTAATTGTAGCGGATTGCAACATGGAAGAGGCGAGAAGGAAAAAAACGAAGGTTGGCGTTGTGTGTTTGTTGATCGACAGGAAACGCAGCCGCGATCGCATAATGTCAGCGGTAATGGGTTTATGCAGATTTAGAGAGTAAGCGTATTCTTGTCCATTTAGTTATTTCATTTCAATTTTAATGATTTTAAATTGTAAAAAATGATTACTAAAAAATAAAAACTATTTAAAAATTAGATTCGGGTAAATCCGATATTTTAAAACATTAAGAAATGCTTTAAGGTTCACGTCGGGCAAATACAATATTTAAACAATTAATAATTTTTTTTAACGGCAAATCTAACCTACTCCTACTATATTACTCCTAAATCCACATATGTCTCCAACGAGACTTGAACCCTCAACCTCAAGAAGGGAGGACACCACCTGATACCGCTAGGCTAGAAGCCCTTTGGTTTAAACAATTAATAAATGTATATATGAAATTCACCTTCAATGGCAATTAGTGTCACTCCTAATGAGTGGTGGGGCCAATGAGTAAATATAATAGGGTCCATAGACCCCTCTTAAATTTGAAATCCACCACATATATATATATATATATAATATTAGATATATATATATATATATATATATATATATAGATATATATATAAAAGTAGGTTCATGCGAAAATACAAATAATTTGCGAAAACGCGAAAACAGATTTTATATTATAAAAATCAAACAAATGTATTTTAGAAATTAAATTTATTAGCAAGATAATAACTTTACAGGAGAGGGTGCTATGGTATAGATTTAAAGATGGTTTTGACAACCGTTTTTTTTTTTCACGTCCTTAACCAATTTTAAATTCAAATTTTCATAATAAAAAATCAAAAAAGATATTCTTGTTGATATATTCATTATAATGTTCTTATATATATATATATATATATATATATATATATATATATATATAGATATAATATATATATCTATATATATATATATATATATAGGGAAAAGTGATATACCCTTAAGGGTATATAAGCTTCCGTACACAAACCCATGATAACACGTCATTTTGTTTGATATATTCATTATAATGTTCTTAAACTCAACCCTAACTTCATTTACTTTCAAGATTTTCAAAATTTCACTATTATTTTCCTGTCACATCACATATTTTTGCTGAACACCTACTAGGCTATATATATTATAGTTTAAAATGAAAATTATATGAGAGGAAGATAAATGTGAAATTTATAAAAATCTTAAAAGTAAATCAAGAAAGAAGTTGAATTATAAGAACAATAAACAATTACAATGTATTTATATGATACAAAATGACGTAATATGGTGAGTTTGAGTACCTAAGCTTATATACCCTTAAGGTATATTCATTTTTCTCATATATATATATATATATATATATATATATATATATATATGTGTGTGTGTGTGTGTGTGTGTGTGTGTGTGTGTGGTAAAAGTGAATATACCCTTAAGGGTATATAAGCTTAGGTACCCAAACTCACTATACTACGTCGTTTTGTATCATATGTACAATGTAATTGTCTAATGTTCTTATAATTCAACTTCTAAATTGATTTACTTCCAAGAGTTTTATAAATTTCACATTTATCTTCCTCTTACATAATTTTCATATTCAACTATAATACATATAGTCTAGTAGGTAGTCGGCAAAAAGATGTGATGTAGAGGAAAATAATAGTGAAATTTTGAAAATCTTGAAAGTAAATCAATTTAGGGTTGAAGTTTAAGAACATTATAATGAATACATAAAACAAAACGACGCATTTTCGTGAGTTTGGGTACCTAAGCTTACATACCATTAAGGGTATATTCACTTTTCCCTCTATATATATATATATATATATATATATATATATATATATATTATATATATATATATATATATATATATATATATATATATATATATATAGGTAGGTTCAAATGTTTCTAGCAACTATTGTGTTCCTAAATGCACCAATAAGAATTCAAGAAATAATAAATAATTAAATAAATCATTTAAGGGTATTTTGGACCTTTTGTACTTTTAATTAAGGGATCATTTAATTGAATTCTTACAATTAAGGAAATAAAATAAATATATTTGACCTAGTCTCTTTCTTATATCCTCTCTTATATTTCCTACGCTTCTTCCTTTTCACCTACAGGTAGATCGACAAAAGGACTCAAGTGAGCCGGAGATGTAGCCTATTTTGTGACATTCACGTCACATGCCTTCCTATTCTCTCTGTTGCTACTCGTTATCATTGTTATCGATCTAAGGAGGCTGAATATGGAGGATTTTCAGCCGAAGAATGCTAGGGTTTATCAATCATCGATTTTCAGTTGGCGACTGCATTTAGGGTTTATCAATCATCGATTTTCACCATCGTCATCACCGATCTCCATCTTTAGCCTCCTGTCACCATTGCCAACCGCCTTATCATCAGATCCAAACTTAATTGATGTTGGTGATCTTTTTTATTAGCGATTCAATGTATAAGAAAACCTAACTGGGGTTGAATACAATCATACACGCACAACATGTAATTAATGAATCTCGTTCATATTTTTTTATGAAGAAAGATTAAATCAGAAGGTTTCTTCTATTTCAATTTATGAATGTAACTGGGGTTGATGTGTTTTAGTGTTTTTTTTAATTTAGTGACCGATATTATAGTTTTGATTGGTGTTTTCTTTAACTTAGCCGAATTTGATATTTTTTAGTGTTTCTTAAGTGTTTTTTAATGTTTTCTAGTGTTTTTTTCTCATGTAATATCATTATGACAGAATATGATATCAAGAACACATGTTTTATGTAATACTTATATTCTCTCAGAATGGACAAGTTCATTCTCATAATGTTTATGATTAACAAATCAATGCTTACCATTTAGCTTGTTTTATGGTAATGGCTAGCAAGTGTTTGTTGAAATGCTAAAAAAATCAAAGAATCTAACCATGTGGTATGCATTCTGTTAGAATTTCTAGAAACACATGTTAATTTTATATTTACATTCTCGTAGAATGAACAGATTTTTGTATTATGATATGGAAAAGAAAGCAATCATGGCGAACAATAGTGTAATCTAACATAATGTATTTTATGTATAAACATTCTAAAGCATAGACTGCATAAATTCATTATGGCAGAATGACTTTAAGAATGTATGTGAACAACAAGTATATTTGTTTAACTGGTAATCTGCTAGAATAAATTAAAAGTCTTTAATGTCTAACACATTCTATTAGAATTTATAGTTTTATTCTTTTAGAACATACTAAAAGTTTTAATATTTTAAAGTTGATTATGTTTTCTTTGTGGATATAGATTTTGAAGAGTTTGTCATTGATGTGGAAAAAGAAGAAAACAAGGAGAACGAGAGTATTCTAGCATAATGTATTCTGTCGGAATGTATAAAGTGTTTTT